TCAGAATATCAAAGTATGTATTGAATCTCGAGGTAGCCAGAGTAGGTGGATTTCCACTGATACATTCGCTAACCTTATGAGCATTTTCTCTATACTCCTTTTCCATTTCTTTGTTCTTGAAAAAGAGTGTCATACTTGAAAGTGGAGGTTTCACGAAGTATGATCGTTGAGAACTTACATTATCTTGAACGCACCTTCGTGAAAAATAAAATCATACGAACTATAATATAATCTTTAAACCTATAAAGTGAAGTTGATTTACCTACCTGATTAACTGTAGGTCAGATTGTTTTCTTAATTTGTGAAAACATGCACCAAAGGTATCCGTGACTGCTGGAGGAAATGGATAGGGTGGTACTGAAGACGACGGCTCGTGAACAGAGTTCAATGTCGAACTAGAAGTATAATAGCCACTCACTCTGTGTGCTAATAAATCTCCTTGAGCCATGCCGTTCATCAAAAATAACTAAAATATGAAAATTAACTGCAGGAGGAAAGGGAACATGCTGACTATTATTGAAACTTTATTGTATTGAAGTATCTCTAATATAATTTCTATCATTAATTATAAGTTATACCTGCTGTTGTATACTACTACGTCTGCTATTACTTCTAATTCCAGAATCTTTCCTACTGCACATAGAAGAGGCACGACTGAGTGGCTCTTGACCAGACAATAAAGGACTAGAAGGTACAGGATTTGGATCCATTTCAATCTCATTTTGAGACGTATTCTGTAAAGAAATACAACTTATATACGAATGAGATAATGCAGCTGAAAATTAAAGCAAAATCTTTTATCGACACGATTTTGACCTGCCTAAATCCATTGCGATCTTCGTATGATTGAGATTCAATTTTTGATTTGTCGACAATAATTGCTTTGGGTTCTTCCATTTCTAAAGGTGTCATTTCCTCGGTAGTTCGTTGTCGTTGTAAATATTTCCACGGCTTGTTTCGCGCTTTTTTCTTTCCATAACTGGCAACAGATATCGGACTTTTATTTGCGTTCCCCTTCTCATCTGCGGTATCAGTATCTCCGTTTTCGGAATCTAGAATACTTGGCAAAGAATTTGCTTTCATTCTATAATTACTTGTATTAGTAACCATATGGAGGTAATGATATTTGGATTTAGATTGGCTATTGCAAGAGGCCAGACGATGACGCGATTGCATCAAAGGCGATATACTTGTCGGAGATGTAATATTCATTATGAACTGATTGGTGAAATCTGATTTTCGGCCTTTGATAAAATAAGTTTTAATACCTGTAATATAATACATATTTCTAGAAAGTTTTATATAATTAAGTACACTCAGACAACTTTTCTATTCATAGGAGTTTTCTACTCCCATATAATAATAATGTCAATACCATTTATTAAATCCCCTTCCTCTGTAATATATCGATCATCGAGGAAATTTAATGTTTTTTCACTTAGGTGAACTCTTCCTGGTTTTCCCGTGCTTTCTAGTTTGTTTGCTAGAGTTACATCATTAGACCAGACATCGAATTTAAATCTTTTAGTACCTACTATTCCACAGAGTACAGTTCCAGTATGCACTCCAACTCTCATATTAACGCCTTCTCTTCTCTCAATATCAAACTGTTTTATAGCTTCTATCATGGCTGTAAAAACACACATTAATTATTTTTCATATAAATGTTTCATTTCTATAATTCAGTAAAAAAGGAAGAAAGTATACCTAATCCCATTTCAATACAACATTTTGCATGATCAGGCCTTGGTTCTGGGCATCCACTTACACAGTAATAACAGTCTCCCAATGTAGAAATTTTCTCACATCCATGATGTTCACATAAATCATCGAATCTTTCAAAAAGATCATTTAAAATGCCTACCAACTCTTCTGCAGTCTTATTGGAACTCATTCGTGTAAACCCAACAATATCAGCGAATAGGATACTAACATTTTCCATTGAATGCATATTAAATGGTCGAAACAATGAGCGAATATCTGTATTATTGGACGGTATCGAACCTTTTTTTAAAGAATCCTCCCGTTCTCTTTCACGTTCACTTTCTGCCATTAACCAATCTGCGACTTTAGGCGGCATTACTGAGTGAATCATCTTCTCTTTAAGTTGTTTCTCCATTTCGAGCTGACGCCGGACCAACAGTGATTGCCCGACCTTCATAAAAGTACCACGCATCCTTACAAAAGTCATTATTAAAATATGTATACCTATCAGATGAATGCAGATCTGCATTAAGATTCTTATTCCAAGACTCGTAGAAAAATAATCGTCCGAAAATGATCGGTTAGATATGTTGCTACTTAACAAATAGTTTGACATTTCACCATTTTTATGAGTTAGTACACTTTCTTCAAATATCGAAGTTGCGTTGTTTACACCTTTCGAGGCTAAATCATTAGACGAAGCGTTTATGGTAGAATTAATACTAGCTATCGTTGATATTATAGTGGAATTTAAGTTCTTGAAAACATTGGTATCGTTCAAAACTCCAGATATCCTTCCAACTATATTTTCTTGATTTGACTTTATTCCAAGAGCAGATAACAGTTTTGAATCCTGTGAATACGATACTAATTTCATACTTGCAGTTGTAGATTCGTTGTCACCGTGCATCACATTAGAAAATTGATTGATATTAAAGTTTTTCAGAGTGGCATCATTTTCTATCGAGGTATTTAATAAAATATATTTGCTAAAAAATTCTTCTCTTGCACTTTTTGTACCATATAGGTAAGCAGTCAAAAATTCAAATAGAAAAGAATAAACCATCGATATTCCCACACAAGCATATAGTGGCATTGGCAAGACAGTGTAAATCAATAACAAAATCTCAGAACAGAGTGCAAAATGTCCGACTAGAGTTAAGCCATCTATATAGGGTGGTACTATTGTGAGAAAAAGTAAAGACAGGATGCAAAGCATGGATGCAACTCCTAATGAAATTGGTAACACATAACTTTTATAATAATCACTATGTGTTAGATACAAGACTGCTGATACCATTGCTCCAATAGCAGTGAACACTGCTGCTATAGCTGGCCATGTTGTAGTATTGTATTCTGCTCCAATTACAACAAAATATGCCAGCCATGTCAAAGAAACCAGTAAAATATATGTTAGAGCATACCTAAAAAATAATATATATTAATATTTGCTTCTATGAATTTAACAAGTATACAACAGTGTATTATATACCGGAATCTTAATCTAATTTGTGGAAAGGCACTCCTTTTAAATTGTTCTTCAAGTATTTCTGAATCAAATCTAGGATTCCACCAAGATCTTGGAGCTGCACGTTCAAATGGTACTGGAAGGCTAATTCCACAACATCCAAGTCCTTGTCCACTGTGTGCCAAATATGTTTGTATATATGGTGCTAAAGATATATGAATTTCATCTGTAGCATCTTCGCTATCATCCTTAGCTCTTGTAAAACTAACAGATGAGCTTCGTTTTCGATTTAAAGGAGGAGTCATACTTGACATTTAAATTGCACTAAAACCATACATAATCTAAATTTATATTTATTATAAATTATTATATATATTATATATTATAAATTTATATATTAAAAATGAAACTAGTTTTATTACAATATATGTATTAAAAAAAAAGGAAACAAACACAATTACAACATTACAATTGTAACAATATAATTTAATAAATACATTATAATTTAATTTCATAGAAAGTTATTGTTACAAAATAAAACATTATCTAAGAACATATTCTACTAATGTATTATTTTCTGTATTCTACTAGAAAACAATGATTTTAAGTAACAATCAAATTTTTAAAGTTTTGCATTCTTCGTGATACAAATAAGCTTATAAAAATTATATTCCATATAGGATTTATACAATTATTAAGAAAAGGTGGTTATAGATCATTTCTTTCAAATGACAGCATGCTCTTTAACTTTATAACACTATGACATGATTCTTTAATAAAAATAAAGTACATGTATAAGTATGATAACTTTAATACCAAGAAACTTACAGCCAGTCAATTCACCTTGATCACTGGCGAAATCGCCACAAAACTAAGAAAATCATCCTCCCCGCTGACATCGGAGGTTCTTCCTGAAATCAGCTCGCTTCAAAAAATGCCATTTTCATTCTTTTTGTTTGGTATTCTCAGTGTTACCGAGAAAAATTAATATTATACGTATCAGTAACAGTTCAATCGAATTTTTCTTGTAATCAATTTATTATTGTGTATAATTAAAAATTATTGTTTGAACGTTTCGAATTTTCTCTTCCGTAATGCACCATGGCCATCTTGAATCTATCGATGACAGCGCCCACGATTAGAAAGCTCATGCGTTAAAAATTAACTCGTGCTTTACAGATAATAAGCTAAACCAGACTGAACTGAACGTACAGAGATTCGATATTCGATATGGGGAAATATTTGCCGCGAAGTTCAAGACATTGTTATGTAAGACATTGTAATGTATGTGCAACCTTAAATGATATAAAATTTATATAATAAATATATATATATATACAATCCACAGTAACTACACAAAGTATTTGTACATATACTTATTTTTGTCAAGTTTATCATTTATATCAAGTTTTTATAGACATGTAAAAGTACTACTAAATAATACGAAATTTAATATACTTGGATTTATAATTAATTGGTATTTTTATAGATACCATATATATAGTATTATATACATATTACACATATGTATAATCTTCATAAAATACAAGAATAGTGTAAATATAGAGAAGTTCATTTTGTGTTATTGTCATATTCAAAAAATATTCAAATACTTTGTTTCTTTCAGGTGGGGGTGCTTATGGTGGATTTGAGATTTTAGAAGCTCCTGTAATCCATGCTATGAAAGACTCTGAAATAAATAATACTGTTTAGGACTGATGTAGTGTGACTAAATAGGAAGTCATGCCAAGAAAAATGTTTAAAAATCTGGTTTAGATAGAAATTTGACAAATATTCAAATACTTTCGTGGTGAATACTAGTAAGAAAGTTATAACTAGTTTTAGCCATCTAACGGCAGCAGGCTGAACTAGTTATAACAAGTTTTCTCGATTTGCAATATACAGCTGAAAGACGTGACGAAGTAAACAATTTTTGTGCAAATTGCGAACAGAAACTCCGATATGACACCAGTACTTGGTAGTTTACAATCTATCGGGCCTAATACTCAGGCATCGACTACTGTGCCTGATGTACAAAGTGGCAATACAGTAGTACAAATATTACAGCCTCAGACACAATCTCAACAGACGCAATTTGTATCACAATCTCCAAAACAGCAGGTAGTACAACAACCCTCTACTCAACAACAAACACAACAATCACAACAGCAACAAAGTTCCTTCAATGATTTTCCACAGGTATGTTTATCATTGAACAAAAATGATAGAATTGTTTTTATTTAATTTTTTATATTGTGTTGATTCCAGTTTCTGACTAAAACAAGATTACAAGATCTAGTGAAAGAGGTAGATCCTACTGAACAGTTAGATGATGATGTAGAAGAAATGTTATTACAATTGGCAGATGATTTTGTTGAAACAACTGTAAATGCAGCATGCTTATTGGCTAAACATCGTCATGCAAATACTGTAGAAGTAAAGGATGTACAGTTACATTTAGGTAAGAAGTTACATTTATAAAAAGTAATGTAATATGTTATTAAATGTGTTTATACGAGCTATTGTTTAATTTTTTTAGAAAGAAATTGGAATATGTGGATCCCTGGTTTTGGCACAGATGAAGTACGACCATATAAACGTGCAACAGTTACAGAAGCACATAAACAAAGATTGGCACTTATACGAAAATCAATTAAAAAATATTAGTCCTTCTGTACATTTCATTCTGTATTGTTATTTTATCTTTAACTGATGATTCTTCTGTATTTCTTACATGACAATATACTTTAGGGTAACATACATAACTAATATTTATAAAAAGAGAAGAAACTATTATCATATAATAAGTTATATATAGTTTTTGCAATAATTTTATAATATATTATTATATTAATATATATAATATATAATTATATATATTAATATATATATAAAATATAATATATTATTATATTAATATATAATTTTAAGTATAGAATGTCTTCAATTGTGCATTAAAATGTTATTTTTCTGAAAAAAATTAATAGAACGTTCTCATTATAATTCTCTATGTTCTTGATTAAATGTTAAATTAAATAAAATATTTTATTTGTAAAATTTATTTTGTATCTTAAATTTATATGAAAGAAAATTTGTATATAGAAAGTAAGAATTCATTTATTTCATTTCATTTCATTTTTGTAATAAAAACATTATTATAGTAACAAATAAGAATACGAAAATTTAATTAATGGTAATTATTCGTATATATCCATATAAAATTAATGTATAAGATTTACAATTTTTAGTTTTAATTCTTTTTTCAGTATATTTTTTAGAAAATTATATTTTTGATTTTTTACCTTTTATGTAAAAAGAAAATGCAAATTAAGAAAATCATTCTGATATTTATTCAAATTACGTTTAATGTCAGATATTACTAGATTTAAATCACTAGTTTATCTAGTTACTCTTTGATTTAGTAATGACTGAAACAGAAGAAACCGGAACCTGCTTGCTCATTGAGCAGAACTCATCAAAGTAACCGACGTACATATCATAGTCTAATATATAAATCGTGATAACCTTTTTCTTTCAGGGACATATTGTGAGATATTACCATCTTGCTTATTGGAACAATTTTCGGACGGTACTGTTCATTCTTTTCTACCCGCTTCTTAAAGTATATTTTATAATTTACTAGGTAATATTTTTATATTGTTAGTATCCGAAAAATAAACAGCCCTTTTTTGCAAAATATTTGTTTTATCGTGAATCCAATGATCTGAACGCATATATGTTTTTATTTTCTCTCTGCTAGTTAAATATAAAAATTATACTAACCGAATTTTGTACATTCGTATATTGTATTTTATCGGTTCAAGTAGGGTATTCTTTTGATAACTAATCAAAGTTTTTAAGAAAGCAATATTCGATTACAGTAGTTCCTCATACAATTCTGTATTTAGTAATGAATAAATATATCGAAACTGAAATGTCAATTGTGTTGCAGATTGCGCAGAATATTATAGAAGATAATTTATCTCATTGGAATCAAATAAAATTAACACATTCTGAGTGTACAGAGCATATATAATAACAGTGTTTGATATTTCTAAAGAAGATCTACTGAAAAAGAATGTCTGCCAATAATGAAAGTATGAATAACAACACATGTGTTGTATGTTACAAAAATGTTGATATTTATAGCATTGGTATGTGTGAACACCCTGTATGTTATGAATGTAGTACTCGGATGAGAGTGCTCTGTTGTCAAAATGAATGTCCTATTTGTCGTCAAGATTTGCCAAAAGTTGTATTCACAAAGGAGATAAAACCTTTTAATCAATTACATAAAGGGAATTTGTTAGATACACGATATAACATCTATTTCGATACACCAGATATTCAAAGTAAATTTTATGATTTACTAGCTAATGTTTGCTATATTTGCAAGGAAAGACCTGTGTTTAGTACTTTTAATAGTTTGAAAGATCACATGAGACATCAACATGAGTTACATTACTGTGATCTTTGTGTAGAAAATTTAAAGGTAGATAAACATTTTTTAATTTCAAGCTTATCTTAAAATATACATTAAGAATATTTTAAAGGTTATTATGATTAATTAAATTTTTTAATTTTATTAAGTAATGCTTACTTTACCTATAACAGATATTTTCCCATGAAAGACGTTGTTATACAAGATCTGACCTTGCCCAGCATAGAAGAAAAGGAGATATTGATGACAAAAGTCATAAAGGACATCCATTATGTGAATTTTGTGATCAACGATATATGGATAATGATGAATTGTTCCGTCACTTACGAAGAGATCACTTATATTGCCATTTTTGTGATGCAGATGGTTTACATCAATATTACAGCTCATACGATTATCTTCGAGATCATTTTAGACAAGAACATTTCTTATGTGAAGAAGGAATGTGTGCAGAGGAAAAATTTACAAGTGTCTTCAGAACTGATATAGATCTTAAAGCACATAAGGCAAGTGTTCATAGTAAACAACTGAGCAAAGCTGCTGCAAAGCAAGCAAGAATGTTAGAACTAGAATTTACATTAGCTCCACGTGGAGAAAATCGAATGAATAGGAGAGGAATGTTAGGTCCATCAACTTCTAGAAATTCAAGAGATTACAGTGGGAGAGATTATAATCTCAGGGAATATCAGCAAACAGTTACACCAAATACTTCAAATGTATTTATGTCAAACAACGAACCTGCTTTTGTACAGCAACCATCTGTTGATGTACAGAGTACAGAAGAATTCCCAACACTGGGTAACACTGCACCTATTGTACCTACCTTAAATCAAAGTAAAGGAAGAGGTAATGTGACAATTCGTAGCACCATAAGACCTCAGCCTCTTGCTGTTACAGACGAAAATTTCCCTGCATTGGGGCCGGAATCAGGAAGTACAAGTATTTCTAAAACTGTTAACTTCAGTGTATCCAGTAGTAATGCTTCAGGATTAAGCACACAGAGTCAAAAGAGTACAACTTCTAATGTATCTATTCAAGTAAATCATGAACCAAATGGAACTGTTACTACAAAAGTTTCAGGTCCTAATATCAGAATTCGTCCTGCTCAGTTTTCGATGGAATCGTTCCCGGCATTGGGTTCTGCAGAACCATCAACTAGTAGTAATACAAATTTGGCTCATTGGAAGGAAGTTTTACAATGGACTTGTTCTAAATCAGCATCTACATCGGCACCAAAACCTAAAAAGGTGGCCTCACCACCATTGATACCTTCTCCACCACCTATTCAATCTGGGGAAGATTTCCCTACATTATCAAAGTCATCTAAATCAAAGAAACAATCAACTATTACAGTAGTTCCTTCCTGGAGTCAAGCACAAAGTTCTAATAATAGTAATAATGCAAAAACGACTACTGATATAACAAAAGGAAAAACGAAAAAGAAAAAAGTTAAACAAAATTGTAATAACAATACTGCTAATGGGAATGATGGTAGTAGTTCGAAAACGAATGTAAGTACTGCTGTAGTAAAGAAAGAATGTGAGACACCTACAAGTTCACCCATTACGAATAAAACGCATGCTGGACAATCAAGTTCTCAGTCTATATTGAAATATGCAGATATTACTAACAGTGAAAATACATCAAAAAATATAAATGTTCAGCCTCTAAAGGAAATAGAACAAATTAATAAAAAGGAAAAGAAAAAACATAAAAATGCAGACAATGAAGCAGTTGTAAATACGGATATCGATAATAATGCTACTAACGGAGTACAGAGAAAGCGCACCGAATTAAAAATAGATAGCTTAAATTCCACTAATAGAAATACCCGTCATTTAGAAGACTTTCCTGCTTTAAGTGGCAGTAGTTCCAAACCACCAGGTTTTACGAATCCACCACCTGGATTTGGAACAACAACTCCTCCACCTCCTGGTTTTTGTATAAAATATAATAGCATGGATAAAATAAACAATAGTAATGGATTGACTTTCACAAACAGTTCTGGAGAGAGTTATTCTATCTTGCCAGACAACAGTAAGCACGATAGTGCATATAATTATGTACATCCTCCTGAATTTCAGAAACGGAACAAATGTCTTGTAGCCAAAGTTAATGAGGTTCTGATGCAACATGATCAGATCGAGGAGTTTCGATATATAAGTGGACTGTTTCGCCAAGGAACATGTAATGCTCAAGATTATTATATGCATTGTCGTGAAGTTATGGGTCTCAGCGCTTTCGAAAACGTATTTTCAGAGCTTTTAGTCCTCTTGCCAGATATTGAAAAACAGCAGGAACTATTTAAAGTTCATCAAAAGGAGAGTGGCAATAAGATTAAAGGTTTGGAAATTTGTGCAACCTGTGGTCAAGTTTTAAAAAATGGTTCTGATTTTCGAACACATATGACTAGTCATACATTAGAGAATCATTTTCCAGCATTGGGTAAAAATAATGTCCTGCCACAAAAAAATTCTTGGGTACGCAAATGAGTGTAGTTGTGTTCCTTTAATTAACTTACAAATTTTGCCAAGGTTCTGTAAGCTATGAATAAAGGAACTGCTGAATAAATTATTTTTATGAATGGCGTCAGTGTAAGATAATCATAATTAATTTGAAGTTACTTGTAAAACATATTCTAAGTATCAGCTTTTAGTATTAAAAAGATAGTTTGGACAAATTAATTACCATGTACTTGGTATTTGTACAATGACCTGCATGACTGCTGCCTAAAATGAAGAAAATTTGTTATTAAATTGTTGTATGCACTAATAATTTTATGAAATGCATATAGCAAACAAAGTCAATAATTCTGTGTATAATAACAAATTTTATGTAAATGAGTTTAAACAATTTAACACTTCTGACACATTCTGAACAAGATATTCATATACAAATCCTATACTAAAATATTTTAATTGGTACCCTATTCTGTCATATGTTAAAACTATTGTGTATATATATATATATATATATTACTCATAAGTAGGTAATATATTTCTGTAATTTATTCATTGTCTTTTATGAAGTAGAAATGGAATAAAATTTTATGATGCGTAAAAGTAACACTGCATATTAACAAATTATTTGATACGTTATACATTATACAGTGCATGTATGATAATGTACTGTTTCATACTGTAATAAAGTTATTACATTAAGTTAAACAAGACTACAAAACATGTGTCTTTATTATATCTCCCTATTTTATAAAATATAGAATTTTAATTCCTATGACAAAAGAAGATAACGAAGGTAAAACACAATTGTAAATTTATAATTTATATATTTATTTCTAAATTTTTTCATTAATTTATAACTGTGATTCTTTACAATGTAAATCATATTACAAAAGAAGTGATAAAATTACGAATAAGGGAACAAAGGTAGATGTTTTAAATGTTTACTCTTATAATTTACTGTTAGTATTATTCATTTTGTAATTTATTATCTATTCGAAAAACAGCATAGTAAAAACTGTATGTTAGGTAATATATATGATATTTAATTTTTAATTTACTGCATAGACGCAGAGTAAAGTGCATGAATATATAGGAATTTATTTCTACTTCTTTTTTTTTCTTACAGTAGAAACTGTTAGTAATAGATTAAACAAATGACATCTGTAATACATTTTTATCCAAATAAAAACAATACATGTGTCAAATTTAATGTAGAAATATTCCATATTTATTTCAATCTTAAGATACATTTTTTAAGTAAACTCACAACTCTACTGATGATAAGTAACATACAGATAATATATAACTGATAAATTTATACACTCATCTGATTCATGTTTTATTTTTCATTCGCAGCTTTGCTTTTAAAGGAAAATTTCAGTTTGAAAATAAAACCTGTTTCAGCATATAGCACTGACTCAGACAGTCTTTAGTCCTGAGTCAATCAAGTTATATTCTATTATTTCAAGTAGTTTCCTTTCTTAAAAATTACAATCACAGTGGTATTAAATCGTACACATAGTGCGTAATCTGACAAAATGGAAATTGCAACCTGTCTTCTACGTCCATGCTCAATGAATAAATTGTTCATGAAAATTATGAATAACGACAGTGCTTTATCACTTTTTAGCTAGTTCATTACTCAACCAATCGAGTCCTTCGTAAAGTCCATGTCCTTGAGTAGCACAAGTGCTTTGAATGTACCAATGACGTCCACGTAAGGAATTTAGACCCAATTTGTCTGTAAGTTCTGCTGCAGACATAGCATTTGGTAAATCTTGTTTATTAGCAAAAACTAAGAGAACCGCATCTCTCAATTCATCTTCTTTTAGCATGTTTGCTAATTCACGTTCTGCCTCTCCAATACGTTCCCGGTCATTACTGTCAACAACATAAATGAGACCTTGTGTGTTCTGGAAGTAGTGTCTCCATAGCGGTCTGATTTTATCCTGACCACCAACATCCCACACCGTAAAACATATATTTCTATACTCAACAGTCTCAACATTAAAGCCAATGGTAGGTATTGTTGTGACAATTTCACCAAGTTTCAATTTATACAATATGGTAGTTTTTCCAGCAGCATCCAAGCCCACCATTAATATTCTCATTTGCTTTTTGCCAAAGAGCCGGGTAAGTAGGCTGCTAATTGTTAGGCCCATTTTGTTTGGGAAGACACTAAATTAGCCTGAAGTTACTTAAACTAATACCCTTCCACTTGGGATAATATTATTGGAACTGCGTATTATTTTACGACGTTTATGATGCTGTTAACACACCTTACGGAGGTTATTCCGGAAATAGTTGGCAAAATTGGCCACGCACACCAACTCCTAAAGTACTGATCGAAAATGCGATGATAATATTGCAGGACTTAAAATAACCATTTCTTTTTGCAATATCTAATTGTAAGCCTTGCAAACGTAGATAGATATGGCCATAAAATACACTGAATTATTATTTCAACACCCAATTCATGAGTCACAATATATGTACCAAGAAGAGAATGCAACACAACGCATATTCTGTCATGTAACCTATTAACTATATAACCAAGCGCGTAATTTAAAAACAATGTGTTCTCATTTATATTTAAGGAATTTGTAAGAATATTTTTATTGTACAATTACCGCAATAAATGACCGTTTTCTAATAATTTACGAATGATATTACACAGAAATGGTCAAATGATTCTTATAGCTCTGCCAGTTTATAGCAATACACTTACATTGTTTTTGTGAAGAAAAAGCAAGGAACAAGAATATGGAGTTGCTTATATTTTTATCAATGTCAAGATTTCAATCAACAATTTGCACATCTGCATTAAAATAAATCTACACATTAAATTATATCTACGAATATGTAAACACAATATGAAATTAATAATTTTTTATTCACCGTTTGTATTTTTATTTTATCTCTCACTTGTTTGGTAATGTAATATTATTTTTAACTAATATATAATTTAAGATATTTATTTGAAAATTACTTTTTATTCCTTTCTTCGTAGGATCTATTAATATTAATGATACAAATAATTTATTATTAATTTTTCATAACTATGACAAATTATTTCACAAGTTATTCAGAAGGCAAAAAGAAGAAAAAAGTAGTGATAGAAGATTGATTTTTCTACCTAGTAATATCTGAAAATTATAAGTTATTATAAAATAACAGTTTTTTTACAGAAGTTTTAAACAAAAGATTCATTCCATTTTGAAGAGCGAAGCGCGAAGGGTCTAGCGTAACAGCGAAGCAAACATATTCGAAAAGCGTGATTGTTGTCATTGTTGATTGTTGACTGTTAATTTTTAAATAAACTTTATTGTTGAACATTAGAGTATTTCTTGGGTACTTACACCTTACATCACCTCACTGCGTTTACACTGAAGAGAAGGTAAGTGGCTGATCAATGATGTCTGGATCTACTGGGGGAAGATCCAGTTCAAGACATCAGTTCATTATATTTTTAGGACATGCTAAACGGCATATAATGAAAGGACAAGTAAACACGGCATTTTATCTTATCATTGATTACCGTATAAGGGATCATATAATAAAATGTACGGAAGAAGAAGCATTTAGAATATTGGGGACTAAGAGGGAGCTAGATGCAACAAAACTAGATGCATTTATTGCTCTGCTATATGCCCGCTGTGCATATCAGGCAAAAAATGTAGATGTCTCATATTTGTGGAATAAAATTTGGAGATCTGCATTTTTTTCAAAAACAATAAGCAGGAATGACTTTGCTGAAATTATGAGGTTTATACGATTTGATAAGAAGAGCGAAAGAAGCCAACGTTTACGAACCAATAAATTTGCGATGGTATCTACAGTATGGGACCAATTTACAGAGAATTCACAAAATTGTTATAAACCTAGTGCATACATTACTTTTATATAAGGAATCGCGGCAGAAAAACCATGAAATAAAACTATTAACAAATTCAGATTCATTACTACAAAAAAACTTGTCAAGTAAAAAGTTGTAAAGGTTACAAAATTACGAAAATTTGTTTAAGATGCGGAAAATGTTTATGAGGCAAATGTACATTTGATAATAAGATAATTTGTGAAAAATGCAGCAAAGTTGATTAAGATATATCTTTATATAAATAAAAGTGTAATTCTATTTAAGTCTATAATCGAAATTAAACAAAAGTAAATTTGGACGAAATTTTATGAAAGTTCATCATTTTATAAATTAACTATTATTTAAGTTAAATCATAAAAATTACTTCTTTAATTCCGGTCACTTTGACCGCACACGGTAGGAATAGGTATACGCAAAGTGTCGGTAGGTTTAGTGTTAAAAGTAAGTGATGAAATCAGAAAGGTTTGTAAAATATCAAAGTGCTTAGTCCTATAAAAGAAAATAGATAGATATTAACAACGGGGACAAGATAATTGACAACGGGAATATCATTTAAATTGATTTATCCTTAAATTATTAAAAAGGCTTAATCATCACATAATTCTTTCTAAAATAAATACTTGTGGAAATTTAGAGAATTCAAGTATACTGGTAAACATGTAATTAGATTGTTTGTAAAGAGAAACAAATTAACGTGAAGTACTTACTAATGACTTGATTGAGTGCACCAATAATATTTTCTTTAATTAAAGAAGAAGATAAATCGTTTAAGACATTATACTTTTTATGTTAAATTTAGATTAATACCAAGTGTCATGAGAAGTTATCACTGAGAAGCGTATACTTCACAAACAACAACGACCTTTAATTCTGCAGTGCGTTTATTCCAATATGTTTAACAGTGCAGTAAAAGAGCGAGTGTGAAGAAAATCAGGATTCGAAGGAAATTAGAAGACCGTTGAACGTTGAAGTTTTGAAATCTTACGAAAATGATCATCACGATATTATTCTCCTTGTTTCTTTTCGTCAGTTTGCACTACATTATTTTGCATTATGGAAAATATGGAAGAATATTAAATTCGTTACCAGGGCCTCCGATATTACCTATTATCGGGAATGTACATCATGCCCTAGTTTCATCAAGTAAGGAGAAAATGCAATTACATTTCTAAATAAATTTTATTTTATTTGAAAATTTGAACAATTTTATTTGACTCGAATAACAAACACGTTTGAAGTAATAGATCAACAATAATAGGCTTCGTTCATATTTGCTATGTATTATAGGTAATCTTTGGATCTTTATGAACAAAATGAGCGATCAGTATTACCCAATTTTTAAACTTTGGGGTTTCACAGCTGCACTTGTTCATACTCGTCATCCAGACGATTTTCAGGTAATTAAAAATAATACTAGACATTTATACTATTATTTATCATATCTAGATGCACAAGACATTATTTCATCATTGCGAGAAGTTTAATTAACTTTTTTTTTACAATTCTAATTAATTCCACGTAACTAAAATTTTAATAGCATTAAACAGACATTAAAAAGAGATTAAATATTAAATTTTTTGCAAGTAAGTTAACTACATACGTTTCTCAATAATAGAGATCTATTAGTTTTTCTTTTTCGTCATCTAGATACTTTTCGGAAATACGAAATTTACTCAAAAAGGTTATATGTACAAACTTCTGGCGCCTTGGTTTAGTACCGGACTTCTTACCAGTTCAGGTATTACTTTTATTTTTCCTTTACTACGTTTCTTTTTCTACTAAAATACTAATTTTCATTTTCGTTGAACTTATTCAATTTTATTCCCTTGCTGAACTTTAAACGCCAAGTGCCATTAAGTAAATAAATAAATATAATCAGATGGAAGAAGTACACTTATGATAGGTAATAAAAATCTATGATATTTTTGAAGAAGTAATTATCTTCTTTGCAGGACGCAAATGGCAAATTCGCAGGAAAATATTGACACCTGCATTTCATTCCGACATGCTTAACAAATTTGTTGACGTATTTGTAAAGGAAGGAGAATACTTGGTGAAATCATTGAAGAGCGAAGAGGGAGTAGTCGTGAATGATTTATTCCATACCATTAGCAAGCATACCTTGAATATGATCTGCGGTAATTTATGAAATATACGATAATTCAATAATTACAACATTGAAAAATTCGGCGATTGTAAATGTATCGATTGACATGTATATAGGGTGGTTGGTAACTGGTGGTACAAGCGGAAAGGAGGTGATTCTACGCGAAAAATGAAGTCGAAAATATAAAATAAAAATTTTTTTTTTGTTTTTTTTTTTTAATTTTTCCATCGAGACAACGATCTACAGTGAGATCCGTTATAACGTACCGCACGCGTACCGAGCGCAAATTCAAAGTCGATTTTCTCGAAAACAAAGCCTCAAACGAAAAATTTTTATTCTATATCTTCGACTTCTTTTTTCGCGTAGAATCACCCCCTTTCCGCTTGTACCATCAGTTACCAACCATCCTGTATATGAAATGTATGCAAATGAGACATCGAAATAAGTTCTCTTTTAAGTATATTGAAAAAGTTACGAAAAATTGTAAATTGTTAAACTGTGAGATCTAGATTTAAAAAATAGCGAGAGAAAATTATACAGTTAGAATGTTTTTAGATCTTTAGGAGATTTTTAAGTTTCTAGAAATTTACCGACAAGATCAATCGATAATTTTCCAGAAACTGCAATGGGAATTTCCCTAAATGACGAAGATGAATTTCAGCACAAATATCTTAAAGCCGCGAGTGATATGGAAGGAGTCTTCGCGTACAAGTAAATAAAATTTGACAGATAATCTTTACATCCTATTATCTTATATAATGCATGCCATTACGATGATTTTTATAGAACTGCAAGGCCGTGGTTATTTTATGATTTCTTCCTCAAATTTGACCCTAAAGGACGGAGACAGTCTGAACTACTTAAAACATTACACGGTTTCACTCGAAAGGTATAAATATAACTTTTAATCATATCTTTTCTTATAACAAGTTCATCGTTCGTTTGTAAATATGGACATTGTACTATTTTTATGTCAACAAAGTTATCAGTGATAAATTTAATATTTCAGTCCAATCTAATCCATATTATTCATACGATAATGCAGGATTTTTTTTATTGATTATCCTATGTAATAATTTTATTGATCGATAGATCTATTTACAATAGATTAAACAGGAAACGATGGTTATTTAGCGTGAACTAAATACAGCAATGTGCTATAACTAAGACAACTAAATAGTTAATTCACAACTATCGTCACCACGGTTCCAGCGCTCTCTTTCACGCGGACCATCCTCCTCGACAACGCTGACAACACTCTGACTTCTCAACTCACTACTGCCTGTTAATTCGTCTTTCTCCCTTAAGCATCCCTTTATTTTTTCTCATAACCCCATCACATAAGCGTTCCGTAACGTTCTTTCCGCGTAATTATTCGATCGAAGGACCGACGACACATTGATGGAGCGCTCAGCCCATTGAAGTTGCCAAACCCTTTTGACCTGTCGGCACTCAGGCTTTCTCGCAACATTGTTTATGGTTCACCCGATATTTCTTAGACAATTTGTCCACGATACTACAATAATGAGTTGGATAATATGTTGTAGATTATCCAAGAGCGAAAAGAATATCACTATCAGAGCAACGGTTCAACTGATTTCAACAAGAATTCAAGTGATGATAATGACAATGTTGAAAGTAATGACGTTGGAAGTATGTGAGATAGAAAGTTGAAGTACTTTTAAGAACATGTATAGCTTAACATTTTTTGAAATGTTTTTGTTTATGCGTAGTACGTAAAAGGAGACTGGCTTTGCTTGATATACTCATAGAAGCTCATCGAAATAATCAGATAGATGATGAGGGGATTAGAGAAGAAGTTGATACATTTATGTTTACGGTGCGTTATACATACATGCTTCTTTTTTATTTTTTTACATTTAAACACGCTTGATATATATTTTTAATTCTTATATAGAAAAATAATATCGAACATAATCTTTTTTAATAGGGGCACGACACTACCGCAATAGCTGTTTGTTACACCATAATGCTTCTGGCTGAACATAAGGAGGCTCAGGTGACTTTTAACTTTCTGTTTCAGTCTTATTTCTCATTATTAAACTGCGGATTCTTATATATGCGTGGCAACAAATGCATGGAACGCGCTTAATTTGTTACGTATAGTACTAGTTATAATATTTAATAAGTAAAATAGATCTTTGCTTGGGTTCCATCTTTCTAAGACGTGCTCTTAAAAATATGAATTTATATATACATCTGTAATCTGTCTATTATTATAAATATTATACTATTACGTTAACTTTGTTTTGTACGATGGATGTATAGCGATTATGTTATAGGATCGAGTTAGGGCTGAAGTAAAAGCTGTATTGAAAGAAAATGAAGGGAAATTAAATATGTCTACTCTGCAAGATCTTTCGTATCTTGAGAGATGCATTAAGGAATCACTTCGACTTTATCCAAGCGTGCCTCGTATAGGGCGTAAGACAGAAAAGGAGCTAAAATTAGGTAAATATCGAATTACATTATATGAATCACAGAATAATTATGTTTCAGTGTTTACTTTCACGATAAAGTATTATTAATCTATTTATTTTTAATAATTGCAAACGTATTGCAACGAAACTGTCATATTTTAAGGTAACTGTAAATTACCTTCGAGTACTGAAGTTCTCGTGGACATATATAACATTCACAGAGATCCACGATACTGGCCGAACCCGGATATCTTTGATCCCGACAGATTTTTACCTGAAAATTCCAAAAGTCGACATCCTTATGTTTATGTACCCTTTGGTGCCGGCTCAAGAAATTGTATCGGTAAGAATTTTAAGTTTAAATATTTGATAATATATAGATTTTACATGAATATAGAAGACCTTCTTTGAGTTTGACTTCTTTGAGAACAATACATTTTTTATACTGATAAATGAAGCGAATGTCTTTGCAGTTGGATTGCAAATAACGTATGATTCTCTTTAAAAAATTTTTATGTAGGAGCTTTTGGTAGGAGATTGACTGCTTCTATTATTTTCTTTTTATGTAAATTTGCATTTCATCGAGTTCTTTTACTTCTTGTCTTTGTATTTTATTAAGAAAAAAAATGGAATATTAACGTTCAATTAGCATCGATAAGTTGTAAAGTAAACGACAATATTTGTAGTTACGTAACTTGAATTTTAACGAGGTCCTCCAAGAAATGAACTTTTTAACGTAAAGTTAAAAGTCTTCTTTGAATAATTGAAAAAGATATAATTAATTTTTAATTCGTAGGAAAACGATTCGCCATGTTGGAGTTAAAAATTATAATGAGTTTTCTCTTAAATAATTACTTCTTTGAATCCGTGGACTATCTTAAGGATATATCATTTCTAACGGGCATAATAATGAAACCAGCACATAGGATCCGAACGAAATTCATTCCTATTAAGGATACATGTTGATGTTGGACATATGTTGACCTTGTAAACAGCAGTGTTGATGCTAGTAATCATAACAACAATGTTTGATTTATGTTACAAATATACCTGATATGATCAGGACAAAGATGTATGTACATATATACACTGCTGCTATTTTTAAAATGATATAACGAGTCATATGTAAATTCATACTTACTTTGATTAGTTTTATTATTATGATATAATTTATTATAATAATATAATATAGTTATATTATTATAATTTATATTTTTATATACATATAATTATTATTATATTATATTTATTTGTTATATAGTTATATTATTATATTAATGTAAGAATTCAATTAATAAAGGTACATTTTATTAAGCAATAATTAAAATTTCGTTGGAAATAAATGGTGTTTGTTGTTTGTTTATTGATTAATAAAATGAGTATGGATATTTTGCGAAAGAATAAATAAGAACAACATAACGTTTAAGTTGACGATCACTTTTAATAGTTGAAATAGGAAAACAATGTACAGATACAGAATTTACATTCCTAGCCGACGAAGGTTGCTAGATAAAATTTTAATCGTGTAGTAAAAAATGAATTAAAATAAAACAGTACACTTAACGAGTGGCTTAACATTGTATCTTCTTCTTTATCTATTCGCTTATCGGTTAGTCATTTACCTAGTTACGATGACTGAATTATTTAGTTATAATTATGCCTTCTCTGTATAGACACACAGGTGTGAATACGTAATGGAGATTCTTAAAAGCTATACAATGTTTGTGTTTTATCTCTTTACTTTGGTTTTAAAGTAAGGACTAGTATGTTGAGCTTCGCTCTGTCTCTGTGTGTAGAAATGAATAAGCAAATAAAAAAATGAATCGATACGACGAATTCTGGCGAAGTTCCTTCTTCTGTAGGGGGGAAAAAAGGGGCAAAGCTCGATAACGTTAAGCCACGAGAGGCGATGTTATCGTGTTAGATTAACGATTAAAGATGCGTGCGAAGATTATCCAAGTGTATTCGACGAGCGTTGCTCTTTCGCTTTTATTCGCCGTGACGTTATATTCGGGGAGATACGATCACATTCGCTATGAGCATATAGCTTAAATAGAAGTTAAATTACGAGTATAAACATCGAATACATCGTAATACGACGTACACAATCGAGTATTCTTCTTGTCATCCTATATGATTTATGGTCGCGTGAGATGCACGTACGAAAATATTCGCGGATATGTTATGAACGAAAACAGCCTCTCAAGAGCTTTCAAAATGTTATTTTAAATAAAATGAAATGTATTATACAGTAGCCTGAATCATTCGATGTTAACCCATTAAGGACCAACGTTGCATTAACGTAACATTTTATTTTCAAATTTTCAAGACATTCGAATTTTCACAGTTTCAAATTTGTTACTGTGCAATAATATTGCGTTTACGTATTTTACACGCATTGTTTCATTGCGTCGTACTGAATGGGTTACACACGGTGTATTGTACAAGTCGATGCAATCATAAGAGAATCGTGAAATTCATTGAAGTATGTTCCAGAGAATGGCGAACGATATATCCCGCGAATAGTCACGTTTAGGAATATTACACGCGCGACCATAATATTACACATTCTAATTAATTTAAGTGCGATGAAGGCACGAGGCGTGTGTTATTGAATCTTGTGCAGAGGGTGCAGTGAAACAAGCACAAGGAGGGGAATAATATTTGTCGAGCATTGCCAGGTTCGCAGTTCGCGGCTTATCTACGAATATTTTTCCTTAAGGCGAATCAACGTCAGAAACGTTATCGATGATATATACACAGACGACAAGCGAAGCTCACAGAGTAATGTTATACCGTTTAGAATTGGAAATGTAATTTAGAATTAGAATGTAAAAATACTATGTATATATACAAGTAATTAATGCGTACCAGTTGCTTGGTAGCTTAGTTTATATTACACGATTTCCTTTTTCCTCCCATTCTTTCTTCGCTTTTTTTTTTCTCTTTCATCGGAGAATTCCTTCTTCCCCTCTCCGGTAATTTTTTTTTTTTTTTAATCGGTTGTACTTATGAACAGCGATGATTGCTCCAAAGAATGACATTGCATCGTAAATTCTGATCAGAAAAAATTAGCCGTATCGGCGGCCCGCGTAACAATAATATCGTTCTCATTAAGTTTCATATATTTATACATCAAGAATGTCGATTTTTCTTTATTGGCACACAAACGGAAGCAACATATATCTGATGATACGCTTAACGATATATCGTTTATCAGTATCGCTCGATATACGCGATATATTCTTCTCTTTCTTTTGTTTGGACGCGCAAGAAACCTACTTTGAGATTTTTTAACCTTTAAATTTTGTATCGATTCTTATTATTCTCATTTGTAACAAAGCAAACATTTAAATAAATTTCGATCGAATACTTTACAGATTCAAAGTTGTTGATTTCGTTACTCGTTTGGTAGTTATCACATAACTATGCAAATTTTGAAAAAGTACATTCGAAAAAGTTTCTCAAAGCGATCGCTCGTTTTTTGTTTGGAGCGCGAGATTTCTCGCCTGTCGATTCGCAATGAAACGCAACAATCGATTATCGAGATCGACGAATATCGTAATTGAATGTTTTTCGTGTTTCGTTCTAACGAATAAGAAATCCGAAATCGAATATAAAATCGAGTCGTTCGAACAGCATTAAAAAATGACAAAAAACGGCTCGTGTATTTTGTAAACCAGTCTTCGCCTCTTGTGTGGAAATGGTAATTTGGAACGGATAAGTTCGTTACGGTAAAATTCGTCACGTCACTTTCGGCGATTTATTGTAAACTCGCGAGTTTCGTCGCAACTTCATGCCGTTTCTGCGCAGCGCCCTCGTATTATAAAATTCAACGACATGTAAGTATAATCGCAATAGCATCGTCGGCGAGAGAATCATTCTTCTTTCTTTTATATTCGTCTTTTTTTCCGTTGTATGTTATATCTTTCTTTTAAAAGAGGAAAGAATAGAAAAAACGAATACGAAGAAAAAACATCAAAAGTCGATACGAACATTTACCTAGTTACGAAAGCTCTCGATCGTTTTTCTTAAATTTGATATTTTAATTCGTTTATGCATTTCATTTCTTTTTCAATTTTTTCCCTTTTGTTTTCTTGTCTATCTAAGTTTCATATATGTACATTATATACATGTAAAACGGTTAATTTATATATATATCCTCGTATCTTAATGATTGTATAATTAGGATTGACTATGTCTTAGAATAATCAACGGAATTATTAATTATTGTGTAAAATATCAAATATCGTACTGTTAGATGGTATGTCCATCTCCAAGGTACCATTTTGGACGAATATCGGTCCGTCTAACATGCCTAGCACTTTGATGAGCAAATACTTTGGAGATTACATAATCTAATAATATCAGGTAATATTAGGTATAGATGATTTTCGTTAATTACAAATATAAAACATGTATATGTAAATAGAATTCTTAATTATGCGCAAACATGATCTCTAATTGAGCATACGTGAATTTTATCATCAGTCTAAGCCGAACGGTGCGGCTCCATACACAACAGCAGCGGTTAACAATACACGTTTCTTTTTTATTTTCTTTAAGCTTTGTAGAATCTACCGTAACAAATCAGTGTCCTCCCCGATTAATGAAATAACAATAGCGCATGCTACGAAAACGTTATTATTCGTAAAACTTTCAAACAGTTCTCAAGCATAAAACACACATGACAACGGCGCAGAAAAGTATACAATATATCGATTCTGTGAACGACACCCTTCCGGTTTCTTTCTCTTTCCTTCTTTGTTTGCTGCATGTGCAAATTTATTCTTTCGTTTTCCTTCCTATGTTACGTGTGCGTATTCAAGGATACCCTACACAGAGACACCACAGGAAACTCGAAATCGATCCAATTCACGAATCGATAGCTCGATCGATGATCGCGGTAGAACGGAGAGTGAAAATAGTGTAGGATGCGATTGATTGTCGACAACTATCGTTCGCGCTGGATCCGGTTTCGAGACTCCGACGTAAGTATGATTGCTCGGGATATACATGCCTTTCTACGCAGCGATTCTCGTGTTAATTTAATTTCGCCCAGTTTGGCACGAGTTTCAATTAAGCGCGTACGCGCGAACGTGTTTGTGCTTGGATATGCGAGTGGCGCCGCCGCGTCATTGCGTATCTGTAGAGCAACCTTACTTATTACGTATTCCTTAACTTACATCCATACGATACGCGAGCCAAATTAGAAGCGGAATGACAGTTACCAGGGACATGCGTAGTTTTCTCAACGTAATCTCTCGATGATCATACACAACATAGCGAACATCGATTCACGTTCTTTTCTTTTATCTTTTCTCTTTTCTTGCTCTCGTTATCTCACTGTTCGAATTCATTGGAAGAAATTCCGATTGGGCGCGTATCGATCGTAACGATCTTCCTTTCATGGAAATTGAACGAAACTTACATCTTATTGACCGACTTTTTAATACGAGCTTTTGTCACTCGTGGCGCTTCACGCGTCATCGTGTGTTTGCGAGACTTTCTCTCTCTCTTTCTCTCTTTCTCTCTCTCTCTCTCTCTCTTACAATAGGCCAAACATATGCAGTGTCTTTTTGTATCTCTTTTTTTTCTTTCTTTTCAAAAATATATGTCGACTACTTAGGCTTTCGATAAACGGAAAGACGTTGTCTCGTCCGATAACTGGAATAATTCTTCCTCTTTTTTTTCTTTTCTTCCAGATATAATACGTGGCCTAGCGTGTAATAATCCTATACAATACTTCATTATAGCTTAGGTAAAGTGAGACCCTCATATGATCCATTTTCTTTAATTACTTGTTTTTTTTCTGGAGTGTGTGAAACGCTGAGACATATCGCACTATTTACAAGGATAATCAATTTTTAATGGAAACAAATGCAAAAATATATATATATAAACATTTAGTTGAACTACATTTTTTCTGTCTTATAGTTTTGCATAAAGATCCACACCTTTTTTATGCAAAAATGCAACTTCTAACTTGGCTGTGCCAGGGAAATAGTTTACTCTTAACTAAACTCATACTCGTATAATTAAACTTATGTACTATTGTCTTTTTTGAAGATATCACTACTCCAAGACACTCACTTTTACTTCTTTGCTTTCTACCTGTTTGTCTGTCTTTCCTACTTCTTTTCTC